ATATATATATATAAATACAACTTCGAGGATAATACATCATTTTAAAAAATTGATTGGTTGTGAAATATACATTATAAAAAATGTGCATTAATTTGCATAAATGAACATATTACGTGTCAAAACCAAAAGAAAAAAATATTGTTTGATTAAATTGAAGCTACTGAACTTATTTTCTCTCAAAATTAATTATTCTAAGCCACTTATGCTTAGAGCTCCAGACATTACTGTATATATGAACCAATTATTATTTGGTCCAATTGTTATTTTGTAATGATTGGCATCTGTGACTTTATAAGAAGTTTTGTGTGTATAGCATATAAATGTTGCACAAATAATTTTTTTTTTTTCTTGGTATGTTTTATATTGGTTTATACCTAACATTCAAAATAATAATAAAAAAAAAAAATTGTACAGCATCTTCTGCCGTAAAGTTTCTGCCGTTCATCTCAAAACAGAAACGAATTAAAAGTTTTGAAACTATTCGAAGTTCACAGTGCGGATGTCTGTAATAGTTTAATCTTATCAGTTGTTAACACTTTATATTTCAATGTCTGTTATCTGGATTACATGTTTGCTGGGCCAAGTATTATTATTATTCTTGCTCATACTTGCTGTTAAAGGTTTGTTCAAATCACTAACCATACACGCACTGAACTTTTCCAAGCAATCAAATTTAATTATTTATAGCATGCTCACATGCATTTAAAAAATATGATTTCATATTCAGCATGTGTCTTTAATTGGATGAACTATTGTGAAATTCTGTCCAGTGCCGTTCAGCCAAAAACTCGTCCTTATCTAACATGGAGATGATTGTACAAGGGAATCATGGGAATTGAAGCAGCCAAAAATGTCACGCTTAAGTCCTGCTTCTTTTCATCAGAATGGTGTTCAAGGACTGTTGATTCCTATCAGCTTTATTGTAACCAGGTAAATGATTCTCTGCAGGCAGGTCTGGAAACATCTGAGAAACACTGACTTCACATTTCACGTCCTCAAGGCAAAGCGTCCATTGTAATATTAAAGTGATGGTTGACTGTTTTTTTTTTCTAGGCTTGATTGTGTTTATGGGGTGCAGTCTAATACGTGTTAATGCTTCGTTTAAAAAAAAAAAAAAACGCATTATTTTTCAGATAATTTACCTTTATTCCACACCACTTCGTTTAAAAAAAAAAAAAACGCATTTTTTTTCAGATAATTTACCTTTATTCCACACCACTCTGTCCCTTCTCCTATTGACGCGCTGATCATTTCCTGCTTTTATTAAGCCCCTCCCTCAAAAATACGTGATGGCCTCTGATTGGTTAGCTAGTCCAGTGTGTTGTGATTGGCTAAACCGCCTCTAGTGCGCGTCTGAACATCCCGCCCCTCACCTCGGCAGCATGTGCTCCGGTTGTATTGTAAACAATGGCGTCCTATATATCTCTTATCAGTTTGAGCCCGTTTGAGACACAGAGAATATTATTGAAGAGGATCGTGCAGAACCTGTGCAAGCACGGCTCTTAATTGTATGTTTTTTGTTTGCTGATGTCTCATACATTTAGATACGCTGTTATTTGTAAATGCTACTGCTTCGGTTAGCTTTTAATATACGGTTTTATCCTGATTAAAGCTTTAATACAGTACGGCAACCGCATGTTTAACGCTTCTCATAGCTATGTGGAAATAAGTGTATAAATGGAACAGTTCATTGTTTGAGCTGAGCTGGTGATCTGAATGAGAGAGAGAGAGAGAGAGAGAGAGAGATGCAGAGCGTGTGTGGAGCAGGGCGACGCAAGGAACAGTATTAACAACCGCTGCTTTAGAACATTGATTTTGAAACTTGTGAATCCATTAGAATCGTTAGAGGACAAAATCGCAATTAATATATGAACAGATTTTTACGGGCACCTCTAGTTTTCTCTTCCTCTTCTCTAAAGCAGCGCAGCATGGCCTCGCCCCCTTTGCTGCGTGTTCCCGGAGGATTATTGAAGAGGATCGTGCAGAACCTGTGCAAGCACGGCTCTTAATTGTATGTTTTTTGTTTGCTGATGTCTCATACATTTAGATACGCTGTTATTTGTAAATGCTACTGCTTCGGTTAGCTTTTAATATACGGTTTTATCCTGATTAAAGCTTTAATACAGTACGGCAACCGCATGTTTAACGCTTCTCATAGCTATGTGGAAATAAGTGTATAAATGGAACAGTTCATTGTTTGAGCTGAGCTGGTGATCTGAATGAGAGAGAGAGAGATGCAGAGCGTGTGCAGCAGGGCGACGCGAGGAACATTGATTTTGAATCTTGTGTATCCATTAGAATTGTTAGAAGACAGAATCGCGATTCATATATAAATAGATGTTTTCGTGCACCCCTAGTTTTAACGGCATGGCAACAACTCTTCCTCTTCTCTATGGCCTCGCCCCGTTTGTTGCGTGTTCCCGGGGGTGGGGTTTATCTGGGTTTATGATGTCACAAACCCGGGAAGTAACTCATTGTAGTCCCTACCAGCCGTTTTTGTAGGCATTAGACTGCCAGAATTCTAAAAGACGATATCTCCGTTTGCATTGAACTTTCAGCGAACTTTGCAGATATTGTTTATGCTCAAATGGCAACATTACACACTAACGTTAAAAAAAAGTGAAATCGCAATCAACCACCCCTTTAAAAATGTCTTTTATATATTGTCTGAAGGTGGGACTGGTTTCAGGTTTTCATTCATGCATTGTGTCATGGACACGTCACGTGACATCCTGCTGCTACAAAGAGCTTTGTTTACAGTCCATGTGATCCAGCAAAAGGAGTTTCTCCATTCAGCATTATTCTTGAAATATGGGACAAAACGCACAAAAAAGTTTTCCACTTTGAAATGAATGATCATTTAACCATTATCACAAAAGTACCATTTCATACAATCCTCCTTATTTGATCAAAATCGACAATCACTTACTATCCCTAAAATCAGCCATCCTCAGTTTAATACGTCAATACTTCTAAGTATATGTACAATAACTCAGTTCGAAAATATACCTCATATATTTTTACAACTCGAGGGGTAAAAAACATTATCCCAAAAGTCCAGAGATTTGTATTTCTTATTTTAAGATCATGTTAGTATCTAATAACAAGTGCTATTTCACTATCATTGAGATATTATTATAATTTTATTGGTATTTTGAATGTTTTAATTTTTAGATTTTCTAAAATCTAGAAAATGTTAGATTTTCTAAAATCTAAAGATTTTAGATTTTCAATCTAAGATTTCAAAATATAAAATTTTCACTAAAGCTTTAGTGAATTTTTGTTTAAATGTTTATATTCAATTTTATTTTTTATAATTTATTCACATTTTTCTTTTTTACATTTTCCATTGTAATTTTATGATTTTAGTCATTTTTTGTCATTTTGTTATTATTGAATGTAGAATGTTTTCATTTTATACAGTATTTTCCATTTTCATTTTAGTTTTAGTAGTTTTTTTACAATATCTTTATACAATTTTATTTTTTAATATTTAGAAGTTTTCATTTTTCTATTTTCTTTTTTTTCTTTTATAATTTTGTTTTTGTCATTTTTACAAGTATTTTTTTTTTACATTTGTAGTTTTAGTTAATACATGAAGTTGAACTAAATGAAAATTAGCCTATTTGACAAGCTAAAATAAGTTTAAGGTATTTTATATTTTATTTTATTTCGGTTTATTTCAAGAAACAGATTTTTTTTAACAACCCTCACAACACCAGAAGAGCATGCACTGCATGTGCAAAATATGAGTTTGTGATCAGTAAGATTTTTTTATGGTGATAATTCAAGAAATGGAGCAGAAATCAGTTTGAAACTGAACTGTAGTCTCGATTCCAATGCTGTATTTCTCAATCAGTATTTGAATCTGTATGGATGTCAACACATATTGAATGACTGACAAGAAAAAAAAACACATTTTGAGAGAAAATTGAAGCAAGTTTCACCAAAATTCAAATGAAATCCTCTGAACATGTTAATCCAAAATTTCATTTTGCACTTCTGTCCCAGTATTCAAGAATCAGTGTTAGTATACTATGAGAACACGACCCAAAAATGTTTCCAGCGCTTCATCCTCGAAGCATTTTGGGATGTTTGACCTGAGATATTTCACGATGCTGTCTTACATCAGTCAGATAAAACTGTTCGGCCACTTCAGCCAAAACATTCGCTCATCTGGTAAATGATGCAGTGATGGTAAATTAGATGCACTTAAATCTATCAGTGCTTGATGTCAGCTGAGCAGGTTTCAAGTCATTTTTAACGATTAGTGTTAATACCATAAAAGCTTGCAAACAAAGAGTCGAGCCATTCCATTTGCATAGATTGGGAGTGAAGCTCTCATAACTAGTTCCACATGGAGCAAAGCAAACAAAAACCCGATCAGATTGATATGCGTTTGATTATAGCGCAGCCTAGTGTTAAAATCAAGCAAAACCGCAACAGAACGCAGTCTCGAGTTTGTTCAAAGCCTGAACTGCCCTGGTTTACAATTAAAAGAGACGTTCTGTGTATATTATCCACAGGAGAGAAACTGACACATGAATTCGTTTAATAAAATGAGATTTTAATCAAAGACATTAAGTACACAAAGGTTATTATGCATTAACCATTTTCAAATGCAATAAAGCACTCAAGATTATGCTGTGTTGTGAATATAAACACACTGACAACATCCTTTGACCATGATTTAATTCGCAACACAGCACAGATTCTCATGCTTTGCTTCATTTAGCATCAAAGTGAGTATTCATATATGAACAACAGAAGCCTGTTTATTACAAGCAAAAACAGCATAATTTCTCTTCGAATACGGTCTGAAACTAATGCTATGCTCTCAAGTTTTCTTAAAGTCTGCTTCAGTGAGGGGAAAGGGTGCGATGACTTCAGGGTGATTCCAGCTCTTTACTGACACCACTGAAAAGCTCTGGGGGAGAAAGTGAAATGGTGCTATAACAGGAACACCTCAATGTCCATTTGTCTAGAAGTTCCCATGTCTTTGTTTTGAACTCGTTTTGACAAAATTGGCAGTAAAAGCATCTCAGTCCATTTCTGTGTGGGAGATGACACGGAGAAGCCTGTCACACTGAAAGACAAAAAGCACACAGGAACCCAGTATTAGCTGCAGTTATTGAGCACATTAACACTGCTGGAGATGTTAAGGACAGAACTAAAGACATAAGAGGTTAGGATCTTACATCTTCAAATAAACAGTATCTTTTTATCAGCAATTTTCATGAAGAGATTTTGCTCATCACATCTAATGTTTCCTAACAGCTACAAAACTAATATCTCCAAAAATGTTAAGATTTTTTTTCATTGTCACTTTTTTTGTTTTGTCTTCACAATCTTTCATCAAATTCTAGGTATGCCCACTTGAAACGAATTGTTATTAAAATACAATTTTAATAATTAAAAATGAATTAACCAGCCCTTATGACTGGTTTTGTGGTCCCGGGTCACAAATGACTTTTTGAGAAATTAAAGATTTTTGAAAATCTTTTACATTTTTATCATCAAGAAGTGTTTTAGTAAATATATTGTTTTAGACAAAATGATCATATATATTTAGATGTTGGCCTGACGAAAATGTTTATATATTCATATTTTAATAAAATCTATTTATTTATATTTATCTTTTATATTAAAATGCATATACATTAAAAAAAACATGATAATATTAAAGATGAATCAATTACGTGACAATAATAATGTGTAGTATATAAAAGTTACACATTTAACACACACCAGAACATACTACTCACCAGAATATTCAGCCTTCTTTCTAATTGGCTGACAGAGCTGTCAGACAGACAGCTGATTGGCTGATTACGCCCGGCGTGTGAGAACACAGATGTGGTTCGCTCAGAGTTCGGCTCGGAGGGCCACGAGGATGGATGAAGGGCTTCTGACAAGGCACCTGATGCCCAGGCCCGAGTGCTCTGGGGCCGCCCCGGTGCATTCTGGGACTGGCCCCGTGCATTCTGGGAAGGGCGGGCTGGGGAGGGGTAGCGGCGGTCTTTCACTAGTCTCACTCCATGGGCTGGAGTGGGTCCTGTGAGGAAAACCAGACGTCAAGATGTATAAGCATTCGTCACTGTAAATGAATTGCAGGAATTGGAAAAACCATTTGGAGGCGAGCGAGAGATGAAATCACATCCCCCTGCCGCCCACGTTTACTGTAAGCAGTAAAAGCATGAGTCAGGACGTACCTAGTGTTTGAGAGCGGGAGACGGGCCGCGGGCGGAGGACGAGAGAGGGCGGGGAGGTGCTGGAGAGCCAGGAGAGAGTGATTCATGGGACGCTGAAGGAGACGGAGATCTCACTTTCTCCTGAGAGCACAGAGAGTAAAACAACTGAACCACACCCATGTCCACAGAAACTTCTCTTTTTGTTTTATTTTAATAAAAATTATTAGATACAATATCTAGGGCTCTGTGAAATCCATTTTATTTTTTTCCAAAATTCTGTGGTTTAATTAAAAAAAAAGAAAAGCACATCTAATCAACTGAATACACAAACATTTAACAATAGAATTTTAACAACAACAGGGCAATATGAAATGCATATTTTTCCCCCTAATTTTGTTTTATTCTGTGTGGTTTAAATGTTTCTGGATTACGCTTTTAATTCAATTTTATTAAGAAAAAAGAATGCCTAATTAGTTGAATCAACAATATTTTAACAATGTAATAATTTACTAAAATAATGGGGCCCTATGAAATGTGTTTTACATTTTAAAAAATTCCATGTTATTTTCCCCCAATTTCTGTGTTTTGGGTTTAAATTTTTCTGGATTACGGTTTTAATTTTTTAAATAAAATTGTAATAATCCAAAAAGATGTCTAATCAATTAAATCATAAATATTTAACAATGTAATAATTTATTGAAATTTTAACAACAAGACGAGCCTATAAAATGTCTCTTTTTTTTCAGAAATTCCATGATTGCCTTTTTCATTCTGGATTAGGTTTTTAATGGTTTATTAAAATTGTATTAATCAAAACATCTAATCTCTAATAAACTGAACTCAAAATGACAAAATAGCAATTTCTTAACATTTTAACAATAACACTGCCCTATGAAGTCTGTCTACAGAAACTCTGTTTGAATTTTTCTGGATTATGTGCTTTATGATTTAATACAAACTTATTTTCAAAAATGGATGAAATTTCAACAATTTAATAAATCTTTTTAAAAAGCTGGAACAATTCCTTTGCACAACAGAGGTTTACTGTTTAAATTAAAACACGGATGAAAATGGTGTAATATTCCTTTAAAAAAGAAAACTGTATTATAATTGTTATCATCACTTTAAGAAAACCAAACGTTTATTTTGGGGAGTTGTAGTATAAGCCTTTGAGTTTGTGTGTGTATATGATGATATTTTCTCAGTGAAATGCTGGTAAAGAGACACTCACCACCACTTCATATTTCACTAGCAGTCTTTTGCAGTTTAATATCACAGACTCTAGCCGTATTGTGATTTGATTAAGTGTACAGCCCTACTTTTGATCTGGTTATCCAAATTTTGACCAATTCCATGACTTTCCACATTTTACAATTTTCATGACTGGTTTCTGTGATATAATAGGGGCCCTAGATATTTCTGATAAGCTATAATTTTCCAAAACATTTAAATGGCATGAAAAGGACATAGTTAAACACATCAGTGGTCTGTTTCAGACCCTATTTTATGGGAATGTTGAGATGATTTGCTATCGATCCGTACCTGAGTGGGGCTTTTGCAGAGAGGCGAGCGCGGCTGAGAGCGAGGGGAGGAAGAGCCTTCTCTGGATGGATTCTTCCGGAGGACCGGAGAGCTGGTCAGTCCATTCCCTTCCGTCGATCTGGGAGAGAGTCCTGCGGGTGACGCACTTTTCTGCAAACACAGACGGTGCAAGACGTCATCAAAAACTGCAAATCATGCCACCTTAAAAGCAACTACAGCAGTGTTTGCCCATGTAAATGTGGCACAAGTATGACTTCTTCAACAGGAGGCAATGGGATTTAAAAGTATCATTAAAAGCACAGACAAACGATGCAGGATGGGTTGGTTTGTGCTGAAATTATATGTTAAATTGCTGAAACCACTAACCCATTCATGAACATTTTAGTGATGCTTACCTTAGCGAATACCACTAACAAACATAATTTCTGATCATATTTAATGTTTCCTGGTAAAGTTTGGCATGTTTTTTGGGGGGCTGAATAATTTGAACAGGAACAAACTTCTTTTTTTACTTTAGGTTTTACATGCATTTACTTCAACTTTATTACTTTTATTTCAATTTTTTGTAATCTCATATTCTCGGTTTTTTTTTTCAACATTCAAACGACTGTATAGTATGAAACTTCTTCATTCTAATTTTTTTTTAACATTTTTAAATATTTAAAATATACAAATATTATTAAACATAATCTAAAATCTTAAATTCAACTTTATTGTAATTGTGCAGATATAGTTGTGATTTTAACACGGGAACTGGTTCAGTGAAAATTTATAACACAATAATAGTAATTACAGCAAAATTGTCATTTTTGCTGGAAAATCAACCCAAAAATGGCTTTGGGAGAATTAATTAAATACTTTACAAATTACAAAAAAAATTTATAAGATTTAGTTATTTTCTTTTTATTTGCATCTTGACATTAGCATTCACAAAAATCTGATTTTTCATAACGAATGATACTGCCTCACATTATGTAACACTTGCATAAACATTACAGCATAACATTACAGCTCTTTGTTAGAGCCATAAATAGCAAACAGGTTTATAATAATTTATAAATATTGTTTATAATACATTTCTTGATATTAAGAATGATTATGTATATTAATGCATATTTTAAACCTTTATACTGTATCACATGACTTTAGCCAATTTCATACAAAATGCATACTGTATATGTAGATAACCATTCATTTTTTAATTAGAAGGAAGGAAGGGGTTTGGTAATAGAAATTATTTTGACTGTTTAAATAGTTAAAAATCATATTTAATTTGAAGCTTGATCAAATGCCAATAGTTCCTCAGTCTGATTTTTGTTTTTGAACAAGAGAAATGAAAAGTAAACTATTAGACTGCAAGATTATGGTTCTATGGGTCAAATCCACAAATGCACAGTTCCTATGGAAATTGTGGAGAATGGTAAATGACTTAAACCAGTACAATAAAAGTACAAAAAAACTATACAATAAAAAATATAATAATCAAAAACAACAATAAAAAAAATACAACAACAAAAAACTAATACATGGCAATCTAATGCATGTCATAAATCATTTTTAATTCTAGAAAATGCAATTCTATACAAAAATCCAATTGAACGCATTAAATTGGATCCTTACAGAAAACAAGAGCATGCAAACACATGAATAATCTACTTCTCTACTGGATGGACCAATGAGAAGATGAATATTCACAAAACGCCACAGAACACTTTAATACTCACCCTGTTTGGAGCTCCATCTACAGAAATGAAGAGAGACACAGGAGGATTGACTCATTGAGATATGATGATCCTGTTATCTTGAGCATTCACAATATAATATCAAGAATATTCCACATTAATTTCAGTCTAATGTCTATAGATCAAATCTCAGGCATGCTGTCGCTTAAAGAAAAAAAAAAGAAAAAAACTCATTTACAGTAATGTCTCCATAGACTTTTTAATGTACACATGTTGCTATTTGAGCTGTCTAGTTGTCTAAATAATCATTTTGAGGTATGACTACTTTTCTTGGCGGAGGAAAATTCAAAAATGTCATTTCATGTAATTGCTGTGAATGGAGTTTGATCTGTGTCTCCATGTCTGAATACACATGCTTCCCTATGTATAGTACTTCCTTTTAAAGTATGCAAAAAGCAGTCAGGCCTCAAGGGATAGTAGTAATGGTAATTTTGCATAAATTAATGGTCGTACAAGAAATGCTCCCATCATTTGAAATTACTATAGATTAGTGCTGTAAAAAAAACATTAATCGCGATTAATCGCATCCAAAATAAAAGTTTTTGTTTATGTAAATTTATAAGATTTAGTTATTTTCTTTTTATTTGCATCTTGACATTAGCATTCACAAAAATCAGATTTTTCATAACGAATGATACTGCCTCACATTATGTAACACTTGCATAAACATTACAGCATAACATTACAGCTCTTTGTTAGAGCCATAAATAGCAAACAGGTTTATAATAATTTATAAATATTGTTTATAATACATTTCTTGATATTAAGAATGATTATGTATATTAATGCATATTTTAAACCTTTATACTGTATCACATGACTTTAGCCAATTTCATACAAAATGCATACTGTATATGTAGATAACCATTCATTTTTTAATTAGAAGGAAGGAAGGGGTTTGGTAATAGAAATTATTTTGACCGTTGAAATAGTTAAAAATCATATTTAATTTGAAGCTTGATCAAATGCCAATAGTTCCTCAGTCTGATTTTTGTTTTTGAACAAGAGAAATGAAAAGTAAACTATTAGACTGCAAGATTATGGTTCTATGGGTCAAATCCACAAATGCACAGTTCCTATGGAAATTGTGGAGAATGGTAAATGACTTAAACCAGTACAATAAAAGTACAAAAAAACTATACAATAAAAAATATAATAATCAAAAACAACAATAAAAAAAATACAACAACAAAAAACTAATACATGGCAATCTAATGCATGTCATAAATCATTTTTAATTCTAGAAAATGCAATTCTATACAAAAATCCAATTGAACGCATTAAATTGGATCCTTACAGAAAACAAGAGCATGCAAACACATGAATAATCTACTTCTCTACTGGATGGACCAATGAGAAGATGAATATTCACAAAACGCCACAGAACACTTTAATACTCACCCTGTTTGGAGCTCCATCTACAGAAATGAAGAGAGACACAGGAGGATTGACTCATTGAGATATGATGATCCTGTTATCTTGAGCATTCACAATATAATATCAAGAATATTCCACATTAATTTCAGTCTAATGTCTATAGATCAAATCTCAGGCATGCTGTCGCTTAAAGAAAAAAAAA